CTGATAATCAAACTCAGATCTTCCGGAAGAGCAATATGTGCTCTTCACCACTGAGCCATCTCTCTAGCCTGAAATCTTTAAAATAATAAAAACAAAGAAAATATAGGAATCTGAGAATCTCTGATTCCCAAGATATTAAAATCAGAGACATCCAAAAATTTAGAACCTGAGATTGTTCTGTGCTCATGTTTACTGGCAACACCACGGCATTCCCATGGTTGCAAGTCTACCCCAAGAAAGTGAGAGTCCTTCCCACCAGCAATGGCAAATATCTGAAGCCACAGCTTGTGAGGAAGGAGATAACAAGCTTGTACGAAGATTGTTTTGTTTGGAGAGGGAGGGTTTGTGGTTGGAAAGCTACACACACACAGGGGGAGGTGACAGAGAAAAGAGAATAAAGGTTAATCCCTGTAGTCCTAAAGCTAACAGAGAAAGCAGGTGTGGCTGCAAATAGCGTGAGGGAACAATCAGAGGGATCACCTTCCATCTCCCAGGATCTTACATGTCTAAACCAGTATTATTCATCCCCATTTAGCAAATGAGCCAAATTCAGCTCTCTGACATTCTTAGGGTTCAAGCGGATGAGGTATAGATTTTTGTTAGGGCTTTGCCCAGATCCTCATGAATTTTGGGAATAATGATGCCCATGGATCCTTCATTTACTGTAAAAGCCAAACACATGATCATGTGGGCTAGAGCTTTAAAACTGTCAGTGGCTGCAGAGATCATAGCAGCTGCACACACTGAGCACTCCTCCCAGGTCAAGCACCGTTCTGGGAGCCCTTCAGGAAAATAGCCCGGGGGGTTGGAGAGACAGCTCAGCAGTTAAGAGTGCTTGCTGCTCTTGCAGAGAACCAGAATCTGTTTCCCAGTACCCATGTCCGGCAGTTCACAACCACCTGTAAATCCAACTTCAGGGAATCCAACACAATCTTCTAGCTCCCATGGGTATGTACACCCACATACACAAACACAGGGAGGGAGTCACAGGAGGGAAGGATGGACGGAAGAAGGCAGAGAGAGGGGGAGGGAGAGAGACAGAGATAGACAACACAGAGGGGGGAGGGTACACATAAATGAAAACAAAAAAAGTCTTTTTAAAGAATTACCCAGACCGGTCTAGAACTTGGATGCCCCTGCCTCTGCCTCCTAGGAACACTAAGATTAGCCACCATATCTGGCCTAGCAGCTCAGCACTATTTCATTATGTTTAGTCCCAAAGACCAAAGCAGGGGTTATCATCGAACTCCTCAAGTTCTTCTTTCTTTACTTCTTCCTTCTTGGCAGTAGTAATGGGAGTTGAGGACCTCCCACTGGCTCAGCACCTGCCACCCAAACAAGTCCACCAGGACTTACAGAACACATGCAGCTCAGATGGTTCCCATTAGTTAAGGCTTCTGCAAGCAAACAAACTCACAATTTCCACATTTACACCAGCTGCTTTAATGAGGGCATTGCCCCTATTCTCCATGAGGCAAACTCATCCTTGGGCGGCATGAACACAGAGAAGATGCAAGTGAACCCAGAAACCAAGTGACTAGGGTGCTCACTCCATGCCAAGTCATGGATGAACTGAGGGCCTCACCCCAAAGCCGCCTTAGCTTGGTCAAAAGGATCAGAACCGAGCAATTTGCCAGCAACTCAGGAAAAATCAGGCATTATATTCTAATAAAATGTTTACAATGTTAAGGGTTAAATGCAAAGAGAAAATAACGGAAGCAAACAGGAGCCAGACAGGGGCCCAGCATGGATGGCGGAGGTGGGCAGGAAGCCCCAGACCTAACTGAGGATCTATTGGCAATTGATAGATGCTGGGAGAAGAGTCAGTTTTCCCTATAGTGTGATGCTTGGTAGATTGACCAGACACCATCACACAATAAATTCAATTAAAGGCAAACAGCATAACTCTTTGGTACTGTGACAAGGTCCTTCCTCAAGGGCACCTGGCCTTCCCTTCATTCAAGGGGTTCTGGGTCTGTAAATTGTCTCAAGTCTGGAAATTCGTTGACTGAGTGAGATTCTCTATTGCTACGACCCACATATCAAGTGACTCAGAAGGCAGCTACCTTTGAGTGGGGCCTGGACTAGGAATGGGCCCTTCAACAGGTTCAGGCTGCTGTACAAGCTGCTCTGCCCCTTGGACCATATGATCCAGCAGACCCGATGGTGCTTGAGGTATCAGTGACAGATAGAGATGCTGTCTGGAGTCTCTGGCAGGCCCCCATAGGGGAATCATAGCAGAGGCCATTGGGATTTTGGAGTAAGGCTCCGCCTTCATCTGCAGACAACTGTTCTCCCTTGGAGAGACAGCTCTTAGCCTGCTATTGGGCCTTAGTGGACACTGAACATTTGACAATGGGCCACCAAGTCACCATGAGACCAGAGCTGCCCATCATGAGCTGGATGCTATCTGACCCCACCCCCCAAGCCATAAGGTAGGACATGCACAGCAACAATCCACTATCAAATGGAAGTGGTGTATACGTGGTCAGGCCCGAGCAGGCCCGGAGGGCATAAGCAAGCTACATGAAGAAGTTGCCCAAATGCCTATGGTTCCTACTCCCATTACGATGCCTCCTGTTCTCAAGCACGCACCTATGACTTCATGGGGTGTGCCCTATCATTGGTTGACTGAGGAAGAGAAGACTAGAGCTTGGTTTACAGATGGTTCTGCACACTATGCAGGCACTACTCAGAAGTGGACAGCTGCAGCATTACAGCCAATTTCTGGAACAACCCTGAAGGAAGGAAAGTCTTCACAGTGGGCAGAACTTCGGGCAGCGCACATGGTCGTGGATTTTGCTTGGAAAGAGAAATGGCCAGAAGTGCGATTATATACTGATTCATGGGCTGTAGCCAATGGTTTGGCTGGATGGTCAGGGACTTGGAAGGAGCATGATTGGAAAATTGGTGAGAAAGACATTTGGGGAAGAAGTATGTGGATAGATCTCTTCCAATGGGCAAAGGATGTGAACATCCTTGTGTCTCATGTAAATGCTCATCAAAAAGTGGCTTCAGCAGAAGATGAGTTCAATAATCAAGTACATCAGATGACCCGCTCTGTGGATAGTCAGCCTCTTTCTTCAGCTATCCCTGTCATTGCTCAATAGGCCCATGAACAAAGTGGCCATGGTGGCAGAGATGGAGGTTATGCATGGGCTCGACAGCATGTAGTCCCACTCACAAAAGCTGACCTGGCTACAGCTGCTGCTGAGTGCCAGATCTGCCAACAGCAGAGCCCCCAATATGGCACTATTCCCTGTGGGGACCAACCTGCAACCTGGTGGCAGGTTGACTACATTGGACCACTTCCATCTTGGAGGGGACAGCGTTTGTCCTTACAGGAATAGACACTTATTCTGGTTATGGATTTGCCTTTCCTGCACGTAATCCTCCTGCCAAAACTACTATCCAGGGACTTAACAGAATGCCTTATCCACTGTCATGTTATTCCACACAGCATCGCTTCTGACCAGGGAACTCACTTCACAGCCAAAGAAGTGTAACAGTGGGCCCATGGTCATGGAATCCACTGGTCTTACCATGTTCCCCACCATCCTGAAGCAGCTGGCTTGATCGAATGATGGAATGGCCTCCTAAAAACACAGTTACAGCACTAATTAGGTGGCAATAGCCTGGAGGGCTGGGGCAGGGTCCTCCAGAAGGCAGTGTATGCTTTGAATCAGCATCCAATATATGGTACAGTTTCTCCTATAGCCAGGATTCACAGGTCCAGGAATCAAGGGGTGGAAGTGGGAATGATTCTACTCACTATCACCCCTAGTGACCCACTAGGAAAACTTTTGCTTCCTGTACCCTCAACATTGCACTCTGATGGCTTAGAAGTTTTGGTTCCAGAGGAGGGAGGGCTTCTGCCAGGAGACACAATAAATATTTCATTGAACTGGAAGCTAAGACTTCCCCCTGGCCACTTTGGACTTCTGATGCCCTTAAGTCAGCAGGCTAAGAAAGGAATAACAGTATTAGGAGGGGTGATTGACCCAGACTACCAGGGGGAAATTGGACTTGTTCTCCACAATGGAGGTAATGAAGATTATATCTGGAAGGCAGGAGATTCCTTAGGGTGACTTTTGGTGTTACCATGTCCTGTGATTAAGGTCAATGGGAAACTGCAACAACCCAAGCCAGACAGGACAACAAATGGCCCAGACCCTTCAGGGATGAAAGTATGGGTCACTCCTCCAGGGAACGAGCCAAGACCTGCAGAGGTGCTTGCTGATGGTGGAGGAAATACAGAATGGGTCGTAGAGGAAGGTAGTTACAAATACCAAATTAGGCCATGTGACCAGTTGCAGAAACGTAGATTGTAACTGACATGAGTATTTTGCACAGGTGCTTCCTGATGGTGGAGGAAATGCAGAATGGGTAGTAGAGGAAGGTAGTTACAAATACCAACTTAGGCCACGTGACCCGTTGAAAAACATCGATTGCAATTTACATGAGTATTTTTGTCCTATTTGGTTAAGAATAGGCTTGTGCATGTATACACATATGTTAAGCAGATACTTGTGTTATTCTTTTTTGAATGTGTAACTGAGATAAGTGTTAAGTGGTTAAGTGTTGTAAACCTATATGATCATATTGGGTTATGAGATACTAAAGGACTAAGCATTCCTTGAAGACCTTATTGCCTACTCTAAGATATATAATGCATTGGTGTGGGAGACAGGCTTGAGCCTAGGGTGATATTGCAACTGTCAAGGTCACGTAGTTTCCAGGAATCCAGACTCTGTAATCTGAACCTCATTATGCTAATGAGGCATCCTACCAGCTATTCTGTGATAGGACATTAAGTCTGTTATGCTAATAGGATGCTGTCTGTTATGCTAATACACTATCCTACTTGCTTTACTGTGATAGGATGCTAAACCTGTTATGCTAATGAGGTATCCTACTTGCTGTGCTGTGATTGGACTACTACCCCTATATAAGCTTGTGCCTTCCTGCAATAAAGCAGACCTGTGTCACTGAACCTGGTCTCCTGTGTCTGAATGCGACTCCGCTGACACAGTCTTCTCACCAGTCCTGGAGTCCGTGACTGGGCAGAAGCAGAGGTGACAGGAGGCAGCGCAGGGCAAGCAAGAGAACTGCCTCAGCACCAGGCGAGAAGAAGAGTGGCCTCAGCCCAGGGTGAGTGGAGGGGCAGCCTCAACGCCCATGAGAACAAAGGAGCGGCACCCACGAGCACGGAGGAGCGGCCACTACTGGCGGTGACCACAGCTGGCACCCAACATGGGGCTCGAAAAGCCTGACCCATGAGGCTGTAATACTTGGGCTTTAACACTTTGGGCATCCAAAGCCCCCTTGCCAGTGACTCTTTCGTGGGCGCTCGCCACTTTCGTTCTCCTGTGCTTCTTCTGGCTTGCAGTCTTCAGTTTGGTGTGTCATTCCTGTCTCCACCGATCATCTTTCTGAATGGCTCCTGAGTCCTTCTGGGTACATCTTGCAGGGTGAGTGACCTCTGGTATGGGGAATAGTCATCCAGCTGTTGCCGGCCCCTGTGCTGCTGCACTGGTTTCTCTCCTCAGGAGTAGGCAAATTAGGGTAATAGAGAAGGAAGTAACTAAGGTATTAGATGAAGTGCTAGCTCTTGCTCCTTGGTTTACAGTTCCTGCTGTTGGGATCCAGAGCAATGGGCTCATGTGCAATTCATGGCCAGAAAGGAGTAAGGGAGGGGCGTCTATTATCTGGGCCGTTCTACCCCATTGTGACTGCCATTCTGGCCTTGCTTCAGGGAGTTCCCCCTGATGCCCCTGAGCAGAATAATCTCATACTAAAAAACTTAGATAAACAAATAAAGCAACAGGATAGTGGGGACAGCTTGTCCCAGGTGTTTCCAGTCAAAGCCACACTAACTGGTTTCTCTTCTGATGCTGAAATGATGACTGCTGATGAGGCAAAAAGTGAGAAATTAGGTTCTGATGGTCCCCTTGATGAAAATCAGGAAGTCAAGATCGCCCCTGCCCCACCATTACGGGGCGGTGGCTACCCTCTGCCGTCTTGTATTGGCTTGGATGAAAAACAGGAAGTTAAGGCAGCCTCCGCTTCACCATTACGGGGTTATGGCTACTTTCCACCATCTTGCACTAGCTCTAAGGAAGTTTCCCCCCAGTCCATCTACCCCTCCCTTCTAGAGGAGGACTGGAAGCCGCCCCCCCGCCTAAGCCCTTCTCCTATGATACAATGGGCGATTTTCCACAGTTTTTCCCAGTTACCGTCAATCAGCAACTCCAGAACCCTAATGTCTGGAATCCATATTCTCATGATACTTTTAAAAAGCTGTGTAAGGCAGCCATTGAGGATGACATTCATTCTCCTTGGTTTGGTCAGCTACTAGATACAATCAGCCATGCGGCCAACACCCCCTATGATTGGCAGAATATCACCCATGCCTGTCTACAAGGAGGTGATTTTCTCTTATGGAAGGCTGCTTATCATGTCGAATGTGAACAACAGGCAGAGAGCAATAGACATGCCAATGTCCAAAACATCGGGTTTGACACCTTGGTAGGGCATGGCAGTTTTGAAACCCCACAAGCCCAGGCACAGGGACCTCCTTGCTACTTTGAACAAGTATGGCTTTGCGTGCTCTGTGCTTTCCAAAGTATGCTGACTCATGAGGATACCAAATTGACCAGATTGATACAAAAACAGGTGAGCCTTTCTCTGACTTCATTAAAAGGTGTCAACAAAGTGTTAATAGGAAAATCAACCATTGGGGGGCCGCAGATGTTTTGCTCAAGAATCTTAAATGTGAAGGCTGCTCTACCAAGTGTTGCCTTGCCATAGGACCCGTTAGACACAAGGATATCTCTAAATTAATTCTAGCTTGTTGGGATGTGGGGACCACTTGAGCTCATGCCACAGCTCTTGCTGAGGCACTGGCGGCTCACCAGCCACAGGCCGAGATAGACAAAGACAAATGTTGGGCTTGTGGAGGACAGGATCATTGGTCTTGCACCTGCCCTAATAATATCTGGCAGACAGACATTATTCACTTTCTTTCCTTTGACAAGCTCAAATATATCCATCATATTATTGACACCTGTTGTTAATGCAAGGGTGAGGCTATGCTTGTCTCTTTCCAGATAATGTTCCAGCCCTGATTTAGATCCCAGTTCAAAACATTAGAGTTGCCCACTATGGAAAGCCTCCCTCCACAACCACCAACCCTGGAGATGGCAGCCCTGACCCTGGAGAAAGTGACACACCTCTCAACCACCAAGAGACCGACCTGGTGACACAGATCATGAAAGCAACCGGCTCCAACAACACAGCTGATAACCTGGGACGACCTTGAGTATCTTCACAAGCAGAGACTATAGCCATTACTGGTCCAGATCTTGCCAGGTATGTCTCCAAAATACAAGGACCCACTGTTCCTTGCCCTTACCAACAAATAAGTGGCCTACGATGGGTTTCAACAAATTCTTGACCCCTCAGGAGGCCTTCAAAAAAGCCAATACTGGATGTACTGCCTCTCCCTCTGCCAAACTACACAAAGGGACTCACCCTTAGAGGACTGGTAGTCAGTGATGGGTAAGATCCTGACAGACAGGACAACCTAAGACAGGTACAGTCCATTATGCTGGCTGACCCTTGAGGTGGGGACAACAATGCCAAGGCAAAGAACCTCGACTCCCACTGGTTGGCATGGAGTTGGCACCACCTGTTCTTAAGAAAACTTGCCATCTTGAGGGAGGGAGCTCTTGATACAGTGACCCCCTGAGCCATTGTACTTTGCCTTGATGTATCTGGACCGATATCAATATGCTTTATACCTCACCTTTAAAAATAAAAAAAGGGGGAGATGTGGGAGACAGGCTTGAGCCTAGGGTGATATTGCAACTGTCAGGGTCACGTGGTTTCCAGGAATCCAGGATCTGTAATCTGAAACCCAGTATGCTAATGAGGCATCCTACCCTCTATTCTGTGATAGAACATTAAGTCTGTTATGCTAATAGGACGCTAAGCATGTTATGCTAATAAGGTATCCTACTTGCTGTACTGTGATAGGATGCTAAACCTGTTATGCTAATAAGGTATCCTACTTGCTATGCTGTGATTGGACCACTACCCCTATATAAGCTTGTGCCTTTCTACAATCAAGCAGATGTGTGTCACTGAACCTGGTCTCCTGTGTCTGAATGTGGCTCCGCTGACACAGTCTCCTCACCAGCCCTGGGGTCTGTGACTGGGCAGAAGCAGAGATGACAGGAGGCAGCACAGGGCAAGCAAAAGAGCTGCCTCAGCACCAGGTGAGCAGAAGAGCAGCCTCAGCCCAGGGCAGGCAGAAGAGCGGCCTCAGCCCAGGGTGAGCGGAGGAGCAGCCTCAACGCCCATGAGAATGAAGGAGCAGCACCCAAGAGAACGGAGGCGCGGCCACCGCTGGTGGCGACCGCACATTGGTCATTGTATGATGGGATAGTCATATCATGTTAGGTGAAATTATGACCTCAACATTGTTTCCATTTGAAAATTAAGCATGACATAGAGAGATGCTACTGGGTATCAAGTTGACAAGGGGTGGACTTGTGATAGCTAATCCTGGGTGTCAACTTGACTGGATCTGGGATTAACTGAAATGAGAGAGATCTTCTTAATTGGATCATCTGAAGCTGGAAGACACACCCTAAATGTGGGTGTTACCTTCTGATGGCAGCCTGTATAAAAGGCCATAGCAGAGGAGAAGGCCTGGCTTCTTGCTGCTTGCCTTCTCTCTCGCTAGTGAGTTCGTCTTGCTGCTGTAGACTGAAGACTAGCCAATCTTTTGGAATTTATCAGACCTTGAGGCCAGATTGGGACTACTGAGACATCCAGCCTCATGGACTGAGCGACTACGAAGTCTCAGCCTCTCCAGTGTGGTACAACCATTGTTGGACTACTCAGACTCTATCCTGTGAGCTAAGCTGATAAATCTCTGTACATATATATTCATTCTACCGGTTCTGTTTCTTTGGAGAACACTGGCTAATACATATTGACTTTGTTCTTTGACACTTTCATACATGAACCACATGCACTCTGATTATTATAACCCCCTCTAATCTCCTCCACTACCTATTATCCCCTCCTCCCTACCAGTGCCCTCCCCACATTCATGATTTCTCTGTTGTGTTGGTCTTGTTTTGTTTTCTTGGGAATTGTTTGGTTTTTGTTGAGCAAGGGGGTGTTTTGGTTTCATTTGTGGCTTTGGGTTTGTTTGATTTGGGGGAAGGGATGTACCCACTGAGTTTAACCAGGATCATATATGTGACCACAGATTTGGAATTAGCCACTGGAACCTAGTGGGCTCCTAGACACATACACTGAAGACAGTGATTGCCCCTTCCCCAGAATCCACCAGTAGCCAATAGTTCATCAGGGAGGGATAGGCCCCATAGGCATTTCCTGATCCATGGCTGAGTGTTGATAGGCCCAGTCTTGTGTAGGCCCATTGCAGGCAGCCACAGCTGCTGTGAGTTTGTGACTGCATTCGATGTGCCAAGCACAGAAGGCCACACCTCACAACCATTCTCCTTATCTTCCAGCTCTTATATTATTTCTGCCCCCTCTTCAGCAATGTTCCCTGAACCTTAGGGGGTGATGTACATGGTCTGCTTACAGCTGAGCCCTCCACCACTATCCATTCTTTTGTCACTTACTATTGGGCAGCCATGTGTCTGCATTCACCAGGGTTCATTGGAAAGAGAGGCTTCTCTGAGTACAGCCGGGAGCCACACATGTCTATGGGTAGAAGTATAAATATATAGAAGGCAGCTTGGCACCATAACAATTTATTTGGTTAAACCTCTCTAGAAACATACAGACACATGCAGAGGTCTGTCCACCAGGTGATCCTAAATCCTATCAAGTAACAATCAAGATTAATTATCAAGGGGCAGGAGATATGGGTCAGCAGTTAAGAGCACTGACTGCTCTTGTTGAGGACCTGAATTCGATTCCCAGGACCCACATGGAAGCTAAGAACTGTTTGTAACTCCAGTTCCAGAGGCTCCAACACTCTCTTCTGACCTCCACAAGCATTGCATAACACGGATGCACTTACACACATGCAGGCAATATGCTCATACACATAAAATAAAAATAATAAAATTCTTAAAAGATTGACTGTCACAGTTCCACACCTTGTCAACTAGACAGCAAAATCATCATTTTAAAATCACAACATTCCACCCTTGAGCCATAAAATTTCGTTCATCACTTCATCATGCAAAATGCATTTAGTCCATCTCTAAAAGTCCCCAAAGTCTTGACAGCTTAACAGTTAAAAATTTAACAAAAATTGTTCAAAAGTTAAGTGTAGGTTACATGTATATAGAGCAATAATCATTAAAGATGAACCCACAAAATTGACAGGGAGTGTAGGGGGACATGGGAGGAGTTGAAGGCAGCAGGAAAGATGGAAACAACTCAAATACAGGTATGAAATTCTCAGAAAATAAAACATTTAAATTGTTTTTTAAAGTGTAAGTACAGGGGCCAGAGAGATGACTCAGTGATTAAAAACACTGGCTGTTCTTCCAGAGGACCTGGGTTCAGTCCCTAGCATCTACATGGTAGCCAAAAACTGTCTATAACTCCAGTTCCAGGGTACCTGATACCCTCTTCTGGTCTCTACAGGCAATGCATGCACAGATGCACTTACAACCATGCAATCAAACTGCTCATACACATAAAATAAAAATATATAAATAAATAAAAATTTTTTAAAGTGTAAATGCAGGCAGAGTCTCCTCAAAGACTCACATTCTTTTTTTAAAAATATTTTATGTATTATTTTTATTTTATGTATATGAGTGTATTGCCTGCACTTAGGTAGGTGCCCCCATGTCATACAATGCCTGCAGAGGCCGGAAGAAGGTGTTGGATCCCTGGAACAGGAGTTACAGGTGGTTGTTAGACACCATGTAGGTGCTAGAAATCGAACCCAGGTCATCTGCAAGAGCAGCCAGTGCTCTTAACCACTGAGCCATCTCTCCAATCCAAGACACATACGCTTAACTGTGAGACCCTATTAAATCAAAAAACAAGTTACATACTTCCAACACACAATGACCTAGAATAAAATATTCCCATTCCAAAAGGGAGGAATAAGGACATAACACAGAAAGACCATACCAAAGCAAGACTGAAATCCAGCAGGGCAAATACCAAATCCTGCAGCTCCATGTCCAGCATCTGGAACTCAGGATTGCATCACCTGTGCTCCAATGGGCTTGAGCCCTCCAATTCTTCTATCTTCAGCTTACTTAGCCTTTCTCTCAGGCTAGCTCCATTTCATGCCTGCAACCTTCCTTGGGAGATAGTCTACAGTCCTTAAACCTCCAACAACCTGATATTTAATGACAACTCAGGCTTCACCTTCATAACTTCATACCATAGCCTCTCAGAACCCCCTTGAAGGAATCTAACCCTGCCACACACTGCCTGGCCTCGGCAACTTTCTGGTACCTTAGTACAAACCTCTGTGAACCTATAATTCTTGTATTTTGCATGCATGTAAAACCAGCACCATGTGGACAATGATGCTGAGTTCTACAAACTTTTCCTTCTTTTCTTTGGAACATCCTTCTGAAAATAATCAGTCTCCATTTCCCAGGCCAGTTTACTTAATTATTTAGATAAATTAATTATTATCTTGCATGTTTAAATGATCTGTAATTCTGCTTTTAGTTAAATAACAGGTTTGCAAGTTGTGTGCTATATGTTAGACGGTGTACATGCTGATCTCTGGAGGTCATCAGACGTTGTGAGCTCAGTAAATCTAGAAAAAAGGTTACTGTTCCTTGATTTTGATGACTCGTGTCTGTAGTTTCTTTTCTCAGGAATAGTTAACCTTGCAGTTTAAGATTTTAAAAACAAGCCAGGCATGGTGCTGGATTCTTTAATCCCAGCACTCAGGAGGCAGAGGCAAGTGGATCTCTGTGAATTCAAGGCCAGCCTGGTCTACATAGTGAGTTCCAGGCCAGCTGGGGCTTTAGGGAGACCCTGTCTTGAAAGAACAACAAGAAAAATGTTTTTAAAACAGAGAGCACCTAAGGATATAGCTGAGCAGTAGAGCACCTGCCTAGAAGTCCCCAATGAGGGGCTAGGGGTGATGCTCAGTGGTAGAGCATCTGCCTAGAATCCCCCAGTGAGGGGCTGGGGTGTGGCTCGGTGGGAGAGAACCTGCCTAGAATCACCCCGGGAGGGGCTGGGGGGTGGCTCGGTGGGAGAGAACCTGCCTAGAATCACCCCGGGAGGGGCTGGGGGGTGGCTCGGTGGGAGAGAACCTGCCTAGAATCACCCCGGGAGGGGCTGGGGGGTGGCTCGGTGGGAGAGAACCTGCCTAGAATCACCCCGGGAGGGGCTGGGGGGTGGCTCGGTGGGAGAAGACAATCCCAGAATACCCCCAGGAGGGGCTGGGGTGTGGCTCGGGGGGAGAGCACCTGCCTAGAATCCCCCAGTGAGGGGCTGGGGTGTGGCTCAATAATACAGTGGTGCTTGCCTAGCATGCATGAGGCCTTGGTTCCAATGCCCAGCACAACAAAAAAATAAAAGCAGAGAAAGAGAAAGAGAAGGTCTGTTATTCTCATACAGTTTTGGTAAATTGTAAACCATTTTGAAGCAGTGTGTGGCAATATGCTTAGCTCCCTCATATCTAGTGAATACATTTGCCCCAAAATCAGAGGTGTGGGAATTTCCACAAAGGAGGGCCCTGCCAATTTGAGGCCCCTTGAAATACCAAAGAAGTATTAATTGCCAGGGAGATCCATTCAGAGAAGATGTTCAGGGGTGTATTTACCCTCCAGCTTCTAGTCATGTATAAATAAGGGAGAAAGGACATTATACCTAGGTGTGTCAGCAGGGAGGGAAGCGGGGGGAGGCAGCTCTGGGGTTTCTATAAGAGCTTAAGGGGTTTGGCTCTAGGCCAGGGTCAGATTCTTTCAGTACTTTGGACAACAACTTAGATTCCTTTATCAATGCCTGGCTTTTAAGGCCCCAGCTTGCACTCGAGCCTACTGGGGAAAACACTAAGCTGGCAGGTCAAGGAATGGTTAAGTCACTCCATGACTTACTTATAGAAAGAAATCAAGGTGAGGGGCTGGGAGTATAGCTCGGTGGTGGAGCATGTGCTTAGCATGTAGGAAACCCTGGGTTCTATCATAGCACAAAAGAGAAAAAGGAAG